CGTCCATCCCCTGCACCTTTGGACCTCTGATCCTTAGGAATCCCATACCAGTCTGGGTATCCTATTAGTTTAAAACACCCATCTCTGGTGTGACCATTCATGTTGCAGTGGTTACAATGTAGATGTTCTCTTTCTGCGACATATCTTCTGGTGTTTCCCCTTCCAAATCCAGATCTTCCTCTACCAAAATTATTCCTCACAAATCCTCTATTATATCCACTTCGATCTGTGTTTTCTATTCTATAATCTGTTGCATTTATTGACATTGCACTATTCTCATTAGACTCTGGAAATATGGTATGAACTTCTCTTTGCTTTTCAACTCTCAACATCATGGAATAAGCTTTGTTCACAGATGGGAGAGGATCCATAACCAGAATCTGATTTCTCATATGGTCGAATGTGTCATTTAATCCCATCAAAAACTGAATTAGCCGATTAAAAGTGGTCATATCTGTTACTTCTTTTGATGCATTGCAGGTGCAGGTAGGCATCGGCATTAAACAAGTGAGTTCATCCCAAAGTTTCTTCAGCTTTGTATAGTATTTCTCAACCGTTAAAGCACCTTGAGATATGCTACTTATCTCTCTCTGCAATTGATATAACATTGGTCCGTTACATTCTCCATATCTCTCCTTTAATTCCAACCATAGATCCCTAGCAGATCTAGTATAAATGAATGCTTCAACAATATCCTTTGCAATTGAGTTCAATAGCCATGACCTAATATGCAGTCGACTCTATTCCATTGTTCTAACTTTGAATGATTCTCAACAGCTGGTTTATCACAGCTTCCATCGATAAATCCCAATTTTGATTTCGCACCCAAGGCTATAAGAACATATCTGCTCCAACTAAGATAATTTCCACCAGTTAATGCCGAAGTGACTAAGATCATCCCAGGATGATCTGAATTTTGGAGATCCAGTGGATCTCTGTTTGAATATTCCTTCCCCGTTTCTGCATCTCCAGGCTCTGGCGGATCCTGTGGCGCCATATCTTCAATTGATGATTTATTCTGTAATTAGGATCTAGAAATGTCCTTGCTCTGATACCATGTAGAAATCAGACAAACAATTGAAGAAGATTTTATTTCTATTTAATCTCATCTTCCCTTTTTAGAAGTGAGGACTGCGTCCATATATATACAGACGTAATGGTCCAAAAGAAAAGCAACTAAGAGAGAGAGAGAGAGAG